TCCGCATGATATCTTGAGAACAGAGGAATATATGATCCCTTATCTAAAGGACGCATCACTGACTGGGTCAGAGTTCGACAACGGATTTAGAAAGCTACGATTGCTAATCGGATCCTGAAGTTACATTGGCAGTTATAGTTATTAGACTTGTCCAAGTGGGAGACTGTTGGATTAGGTGTTTAATCCCATAAATTTAATTGGGATGTACTTGACCCGATTGTAGCATGGTCCTTTTGGGTTGCCTTCACCAGTGCAATTTGATAGGATGGACTTTTGAGAATAAGGTTATTTGTGATTTATTAATATATTATAAGTATAATATATTAATTGAGAAATCATATTATTTAATTAGTATTGATCAAGAATTAATTTGGAATTAATTTAGTGATCAAAAGAGACTAATTAAATATACGGGGACTGATTAGATAAATCAATGATTCTTGTGGGCCAATGATCTGTGGTTAATTAGGATGGGCTAAACCAATGTGATAGTCCATGGATAGTCCATGGAGGTTTAACCCATGGAGCCTAAGTAATATGAAAGGTCATGGTGCATTAGGGTTTTCAAGGATGAAACCCTAGCCTTTGTAACACTATAAAAGCACACCCCTAGAGCCAAAATCGGTTACACCATTCATTCTATGAGAGTGATATTGATTTTGTGCTAACTAGCTTATTCTCTCAAGTCTCCCCTTGCATTTGGTGTTTGTGATACATTAGAGGCATCACACTTGCGGTGCTAAAGCTTTCTAAGGCCAAGAACTACAACTACATCAAGAGGTATTCATCTAACTATGAGTTTTGTATTGTATATCCTCTATTGTATGCTAGTTAGGATGTATGCTTTGGAAAATTGAAAATGCATGTATAATTAGAGAAAACATAGATCCAAAGCATCTAGGGTTACATGTGCACCATAGGAGTGTTATAGTGCTTAAAACCCAACATATTCATCATAGGACCACTTCCATAAATTCCCAATTTACTCAAATAACCCTAGAAGTCAAACTAGTCAACCCTTGGTCAAAGTCAAAGTCAACGGTTAAGGTCAACAGTCCATGTTGACCCAACTCGTCGAGTCCTTCTAGAACTCGAGAAATCGTAAAAACCCCTAGTTGACTTGCCGAGTTTCTAACCGACTCGTCGAGTCCATATGTGTCCAAATGTCGGCAAAAACCCTAACTGACTCGTCGAGTCTTCTTACTGACTCGCCGAGTTCATGCCGAACCAATACAGGCAATCTTCATCCGACTCGTAGAGTCCCTTCAATCCATTTGTTATTCAGACGTTTTTAAGTTACCCCAAAGCTCCAAATTTCAGATCTAACCTCCTAGGGCATGGTTTCCACGTAAAGTTGCAAACTTTACGTACATGCATGGTCCTAAATGCCAAAACCAAGCTAAGGGAAAGGTTTAACCCAAAGAGAAGGGCCAATGCTTGCTAAATCTGATAACTTTATGACTATAGGGACCGAGAGGAGTCCATATCTGAAGTTACAACATCAGATCATGCCCAATACCCGAATTGACTCACAAATATGCTAAAAATGGCCCTAAACCTATGCATGAAGAGATCTAGCTAAAGATAAGTCAAGGTAACGACTTGTTACCTTCAAAATGATGCTAAGATGAAGTAGAGTCGGATCCACAAGCTTCCCTTTGCTCCAAGCTCTTTGGACTTCAAGCCTTCTGGGAGTCGGGTTGTTACATATTGGAAGGCGGTCGTCTGTATAAGTCGACTTCTTAGTTCGAATCGAGATTCTGGAAGGATTGTTCAAATAGCCTGGGGACCTAGGATGCAGTATTTCAAGGAAGAAATCTAATTTAAGTGGAGGAGAGTTGTAACACACGCGTTCCGGATTGGTTAAGCTTACTTTTATCAAGGGCCAAAGATGAAGTTTTGGAGGAGACTTTGTGCCACGACATGATGCAAGGATGCCCACGACATAGAAATGGATTGGTGGACCGTGTGTTTATTTGGGTCACCACGGCGTGCCCAAGTTGTGTCACGACGTGGTAGTTGTTCTAGCCCAAGACCATGATTCTGTTAGGATTTGCTTCATATTTAAACCTCTCTAAGCCATTTCTAGGGTTCTTTTCCAGCCCCCAACACCCTTATACCTCAGAGAAACCTTATCTCTCATTCCCTTAGTGATTTCTAACCTTTTTGGAGCATTTTTGGCTTGGAGAAAAAGAGAAGAATGAGAAAAAGGTGCTCCATTGGTGGAACTTGCAAGGAACCAACATCATCAGCATCTCTCATAGCTTTTGGACCTTTGTAAGTGTCAAAGGCTCAATCTTTATGGCTTAAAGTGGCTAGATCTAAGATATTGTCCCATGTTCTTCATGTTTGAGTAGGTTTGGAAAGATGGAACTCATAAAGTTGGCAACTTTATGACTCTCCTGAGCCCCATGAGCATCATACATTGTAGATCTAGACTTTGGTTGGAGTTCTTATCTTTTGCATAAATTTTGATCATTTTTAGCTCATTTTGACCTAAAATGGATTCTAGGCTTGTTTTGGATATACATGTCGACAAAGCTTTCACCTTTATGATAGATTTGGTATTATAAACCCTTCTTGAGTGGTTGGATTAAGGACTTTTTTATATTAAGGACTTAATGGTTAAGACATTGTGAAATTTGGCTTTATTTGGACCTAGGGATTGAGATCTTGATCTATTTGGGTGTCTTAATGGATAAAGTTGGAAATTTTATCCATTTAGACCATATATTGGACCAGATCTGAACTTTGTAACTCTTGGAATCGAAGGAAACAGCTTAACACATTAAGGTGTTGGAATCTCAGCGCCCACGGTGTGGCCATAGGTCGCCACAGCGTTGCGACTAGGAAATTTTCATCCGTTTGATTATATGAGGGTCATGATGTGTCCAAGGAAGGCTACGACGTGGCGGTTGACTAAAGTCAACTTTGGTTGTTGACTTTTACTGATGACTTTTGGCATGGTTGACTTTTGGTCAATTTCTATTTTAGAAGGTAGACTTAGGGTTTGCCTTGTGTGAATTGTTAGGAGTTTTTTAACACCTATCTTTTGGCGGTGAGAGTTGTTAGCTATGGTCGGCGTGATATTGACTTGGGTTTTAGTTGGCTTTGTGATTCAATTGAGTTTCCTCACTATAGAATGCACCAATGTCGGCCTATTGGATTATGTATGTAGGAAGACCAGGTGGTGGCACTAAGTGAAAAGGTGTGCCACTTAATGCCATGTACATGATGTATCATTAAGTGACAAGGTGTGCCACTTAATGGCACCTGATACACGATCATGGCACCTTATGTGTCATCATGGCACTTGATGCGCTAGTAGTGGCACATGATGAGCCATCATGAGCATAGATAGTGCTAATGCAATGTCTCTCACAGTTGAAGGTTCTAGAAGTAGTTGCATGGCAGATTGTGATTGGTTGACACCTTTCATGGGCCGATGGATTGATGGGCTTGGCTCATTAGGGTTTTAGGTTTATCCCTAATCTATTAATAAGGATGTATGCTAAGTATTCATGGGTCTCATTCTTTGTATCTTGTATCCTAAATAAGTAGGTGAATCTCTACTAGTTATACTTGTAATCTCAATTTGAGAACTTTGTGAATAAGAATATTCCCCTCCTGTTCGTGGATGTAGGTCATCTTGACCAATCCACGTAAATATTGGGTCTTTGTGTGCTTTTGGTTTTGTGTGTTATCCATAGTACTTCCTAACGAGGGTCATCAGAGTTTGACATGTGACATCAGATATGTTCTAATTTTTTACAAGTATCGTCTAATTTCCTAACAGTGTGATATCTGGGTTGGTGCTTTTAGGGAAATATGATCAATTACACCTTGTGCCCGAGGGAAATATATTTGTTTCCCGATGTTAGGGGTGTGTAGGTGCTTTTGCATCTAGGCAATCAACATAATCTATTATTTGGTGGATTGATTACCGGTGAGTTTATTGGTTTAAAAGACATTGATTGAAGTATGGTCTAGAAAACTAGCCGATCATTCAAGTTTTTAACTTTTTAGTTGTTTGGCATATTACCAGATAAGAGACAACAAGTTAGAGCCTCACACGAAAATCCTAATTTTCTGGGTCCTAATATTCTGGTATGTGGTGACAACGTCAAAGGATGAAAAGGTTGTTCTCAATGCAAGAAGCACGTCATAATAACTTGAGACATCACTTCTTATGACAAGTCAATGGTTTAACGAAGTGTTCGCAAGAAGGTAGAGGATATCCAAAAAGTAAAACATGTGGAGGATAATGGTATTTCCACAGCCCTAGCCGTCAAGATTTTATAACAATGGATGTCTCGGACTCCTACAACCATGGGGGTGCCTTAACCAACCATCATGATGAAATAGACATCGGGCAAGAGATTTAAGACATGACTTGTGACTAAGGGTTTATAGCTAAAAAGGAGGGGTCGACTACAACAATTTCTTTTTCTATCAAAATACATGTCTATCCATGTATTATTGTCAATGGTTAACATGAATTGGAGCAATTGGACGCTAAGACGATATTTCTTCACCACATCTTCTACAAAGGATTTGTCATGTCTTAAACTGAATGTTTCACCGTAACAACAAACAAGATTGTGTGTGTGTGTGTGTTTTGCATAAACTATTTTATGAGTTTAAATAGTCACTAAGACAATGGTACATGGTATTTGATAGCTTCATGGTCGAACATGGGTTGTAATGGAGACCGCATGATGGTTATGTGTATCATAGGAAGGTCAATGATGGTTCATTGGTTTACATCTAGAAGGTTATTTATCGATTCAGAATATTATGACAAGTTCATTATCCGGCTACAATAGACGGTCTTAATGTATGCCATTTTGTGTATCAGACTGAACATAGCAAGCTTGGTCAATATAATGTCTCAATACACGGTGGATCAAGGAAAATATTTTGAAGCAATAATAGGAAGCAATAACAATGCCAATGACAATTCCATTCAATTGTTTATGTATTTCAATTATGCACCACAAATCCACAATATTACTTAATTTAAAGGTCTTAAACCAAAATGATGCTTTACATATGAAATGTACATAACCAATGTCTTGGTATGCGAAGTTTTGTCTCGGTTTCCACGTGTCTTTTACTTTAGGGAATACCCCACGCGTGCAACAAGAAGTAGATTCCACATACCAATGCAAATCTTTTGGAACCATTATCATACATGTAGCCGTTAGATTTTGATTTAATTTAATTAATCACATGTTTTTTAATTACAATAGTACAATACTGATTTTATGTTGTAATAGTTTTTTCAAACTTTTCGGCTTGTTTTCATGTGATATGAAATCGATACATTTTTAAATGCTGACATGTCAGTCACCAGAAGAAGATACATACAATTACACTGTCAGGAATGCTTTGAACAAAACCAAGTTCACACGTTCTAAGCATTACCCTTTAGTCCTTACCCCTTCGAAACTTTGAAAACATAACTACTATAAACAAATATCTAATATTAATAATAACTTAATATAATCGCAAGATAAATAATTAATATTTCGGATGTTATGGTTTCAAAAAATACCAGTTGTCAAAAGAGACACGTAGGCCCACTGCCCACCTCACCGGGAGCAAAAGGCCGGTGCTCCATGCCGCTTTCCGTCGCGATCCATGCTTTTAAGCCCGTTGTGGGCCCAGATGAGAATTGAGATCACCGTCGTCCGCCGTCAGCCGTCCGATCAGATCATGGTCAAACCTCATACTTCAAGTCAAATACACTTGACACTGTACAACGGTTTTACCGACTTTAAACCCTGGAACCACCGTGAACGCCACTTCCGGCGAAGCTTTTACCGGTTCTTCGTTTACGCTTTCCATGAACACCTCCGTGAACCGGCTACCTTTTCTGACCTGAAAAATCGACGCCCCGGGATCGACGGCGAATGCTAGACAATGGAGGAGATATACTCGTTTTGCCACGTCAGCAAACGACGAGAAGAACGTTGTTTCCGGGAATTTTCCGGCGGACACCAGATTTCTCTGATTCAAATTCCCGAAAAGTAAGAATTCCATAATCGGGTGGATAAGTCTCAAATACTTTGACCAGCAAAATTTCGCAAACATGGATTTTGGTTTTCGTGTTAAATATTCTCTAGGTTTGAAGGATTTCAGTTCGTTGAACTGGTCGGTGGTCGGAGACTCGGAATCGCCGGAAATGCAGAAACTCCGGTGGTTAAACCCATCGAACATCACTTGACAAACAAACGACTCAAACGCGTAGCATTTATGGTTCATCTCGCTGTAAACAACATCCGGTTGGATTGCGCCGGCGGCGGCGTCGATATCCCAGTCGGCGACTTCCATTTCTCCGATCATAAATCTCACGAAACTTCTAATCGATTTCGTCGTTTGACGAAGAGCTGAGGGAAAATCGTTTAGGGTAAACGATGGAAAATGACGCGATAATGGCCCACTCGAGTTTAATCTTCTCTCGATCGATTTGTTTTCTCTGTTAGCTTCGTTTAATTTCTCTTTTAAGAAGATGATCTCTGAATCCTTGAGTTTTTTCTGACTATCTAACTTTTTTCCGGTTATCTCATACATTTGTAACAGATTCTTCTGTTCACGAATCTCCGCCTGCAGTATGGTGGTTTCCGGTGAACTGTCGTCGAGGTGTTTCTTCAAGAACGATTGCTTTAACTCCGATAAGTTTTTCAGTTCCGATACCACGATCTGATCAGCCGACTGAATGCCATCGGCGTCGTAAGGAGATTGAGCGTATTGAAACTGTGCATACGCAGCTTTCACAGATGAAATTGTCGAAAACACTTTAGCGATAAACGCATCCATAATCGCTCTCTGAAACTTGTCGTCTTCTTCATCGAAGAACTTTGGTTGACCGATGTCTGTGATTGGCGTTTCATGTTTGACTTTTGCAGATCGAATATGTAAAACTTTGGCGAAAGTTCGAGCTAATTTGGTTTTGTTTGGGGTAAGCGCAGATTGGTTAACTGAATCCATCTGCAACAAAGAAATTGGCAATGATTATTCAGGGATTGTGATTTAGAAGGAGATTGACGATGGTTTTTCTAATGATTTACGCAGAATGATTATAAAAAAAGATGATGATAAAGACTACAACAATGATGATATAAAGGGGAAGAACGTTATTAAATAGGAGGGAAAGCAGAGTATGCTTTAACTCTTAGATCGAGGCCATTTGTGTGTTTATGATCTATCCTGCTTTATAAAAAAAGAGCAAATGAGATTAAAACCAAAAGAATAGAGAAAAAAGAATATTTCATAAAAGAGACAAAAACTTGTTTTTCATTTGTATAAAGAAATTTGACTAAAACATGAAAACCCACTAAAGAGCATTATTTAGAATTATCAGAAAAATTAACATTAAGTGCAATAATTCAAAGTAAATATTCTAATTGGAGAGACCAAAATCAACACAAATGGCATATGTAAAAGCCACACAAGCTGAACTCCATCAAAATCAAGATTCAAGATCATTAATCACAAATGCAATGATTGTGGGGACCAATTCTCAGATATGCATACGTATATTATATATAATTATATATGGTTCATGTAACATTACTAAATTTATTATTGAAACAAATCAATGTAATAAATATAATTTTAAATGTGAAAGAAGTTCAACCTAAAGTATACTTTGGTAGAGAAAAGGGTATAATATTTTTTATAATATGTTTTTACTTTTACCCAAGGGTAAAAAATGATAGCCAACACAAAGGGACAAAAATGGCGGGGTCCTCAATTTTACTTGAAATGATCATGAACCAGATTATATGTGAATGGCCCTTTAGTTTCATCGATCTAGGAGCCTTTTTTCTGCACTATTATGTCCAAATTACAGAACACAACAGTAGAAAAAGTGGAAAAAGCTCAGGAATGGCAGGAAATAGATCACATGGAGGATCAGATCGGCTACTATATTTCATTAATCATAATGATCAAAACTGTTTCAAACATGGGGTAGTTCGCAGAATTAAAACGCATCCAATGAATTAATCGTGTTAATGTCAGTCAAGTGAGAAATTACCTTTCGTTCAACGAGAAATTGCGACACTTGATGTAAATCTCAAGGTATCGTAAGCGCCTACAATGGCGACGACTGCAATCAGAAACTAAAACCGAAGAGGTAGCTTTCGCAAATTGGAGTAGAAACGCGTTTTTGACTAGACACCTGAAGAAGTAATGAAAGTATAAGAAATTGAAACGTAAGGGAAAGGTGAAACGTTGAGTAAACAATTTAATAAAATAATGATTAGATGTAAACAGTATTGAATACACGTACATTAAAATAGGATTAATTAGGGAAAAGAACAAAGAAATTCCACAAACAAAGGCAAATAAAGTATTAATAAAATCCAGTTGCAGGAAGATTCGAGAGAAACAACATGAAAATTCCGGTGAATCGAATACTTACCAAAGCAACGAGAAGGAAACTTCGAGTGTGTGTGCTTATTAGAGAGTTGATATGATTTTCAGCATTTGTTTAGTAATTTTCACTAGCAAGTAGACCAGAACTAAATTACGATTAACTAGCTACAACAATGGCGATTTACAGAGAAGTTTGAGGTAATGTATGGAGGAAATATAGCAAGGGGGAGGAGAGGCGACCGGAAATAACAGGAGATAAAAATGTCCGTTGGTTTAAGCAGAGACATTGCTATTTTAAAAACGCTCGAAGGTAGGTCTGGGTCGTGTTTGGTTTTACTGTTTTGTCCTTAGTGGTATTGAGGGATTTAGTTATAGACTTTTGTACTCAGAGGGGTAGAGTAGTAATTGTACCTTGTATATATATATATTTGGTAGGATAAATTATAGAAATAGTCCCTTTTGTGCAATTGAAATTACAACTTTAGTCCACTTTCCATTGTGGTGTCGAGCAATATTTGTTATTTAGTCCCTCTTATAACACTTTAAAAAGAAAACTATAAGGGCACGCTCTTTTTATTTTTATCTTATTCTCTTTTACTTATATTTATAGTTAATCTCCATGTCCACCCTACACCTCCTTCCCTACCATCTAGGAGCTTTAAAAAACAAAACCAAGTGATTGAAACTCTAACGCACATGTTCATCATCTTATGTATGGTCGTCTTCTCGACCTAAAACCTTGCATCAACATAATGGGAAATCTATATGGCCGTCCGGAATACAGACCACGGACCGGCTTGTGGTCTACGTGCCCACGAAAAATGCTCGTGTACATTACCTGTTGGTGATTTTAGTGTCACCATGTCATTTTAAGTAACTGGAACTAACATGTGAGCTAAGGGGCTTCATAGTTTGTACTCTAATATATGTATGGGGGTTGTACGGAGTGCACGCATGTATAAGATCGAATTAGAAGCCGGTCCGACGATTAGTCGGGGGTCCGGGGGCAGCGCCCCTGGGTCCGGGGTTTCCAAAGGGGCAGCGCCCCTTTGGCGGGGTCTAGGGGCAGCGCCCCTAGCGGGGTCCAAGGGGCAGAGCCCCTGGCTGGGGTCGAGAGGCAGCGCCCCCGCAGGGTTTGGGGCAGCGCAGATTAAGATTACTAACAAAATCCGGATTAAGACTAACGAAACTCAATTTCTTGAGGGTGTTTATGGTAAAACTAACGAAACTCGTTAGTTTTGGTAACCCTAAATCCTCATTAAATCCGGATTAAGATTACTTGTTTCCAAAGCAACTAATGACGACCCAACCTAATAAAACCCTAATATCGTTTATTATATAAACGGATCTTCTTTTCAGAAGAGGGTGACGATCTTAAGCTCTTGTTTTTCATCATACTTTCAAAGAATCTTCTAGCATTTTGGCTTACGATTTCTGTGCCTAGAATCGTAAGTGTCCACTTGGATTATCCTAGGCTGAATTTCTTGTAACTCAGGCATAGGGTAGAAATATCAGTTCGGAAAGTGATATCACGATCCAAGTCGGTATCCAGATCTCCACCACAAACCCTAAATTTCCCAACATTACCCGATCATTCGTTGTCCGTGATGGATCGTGATGCAGGCGACGAAGGAGCACGACCAATGGCAGCCTTTCTTCTCTTTGAAGCCGTTCAACGGTCAAAAACTTAATTGTTTATTTTTTTTTAATATATAAACATTACCTATAGAAACACAACAATTTTATAACCTTTATACATTCAAACTATTCTCTTTTACACTCTCTTTAAAAACCATATTTATGGATTTCTTTAAGAATATTTCGATTTGGGTGACGATGGAAAATTCATTTGGACGTTCTTCAACCTTGTGCAACACATTCACGACAAAAAAAAGTTCGAATGTAACGCATTCAAGAGTGGTTGTCAATCGAGATCATCAAGCCGCACATGACTTATTGGTACTTGATTATTTTGTCGATAATTGTCTTTATAATGATAACACATTCGAACTAAAGCTATATTTTTACGTATTAGTAATGCTTTAAATGTCTGTTATAATTATGTTAAACAAAAACCTGATGCTAAAGAAAGAATGAGTTTTAATAATATACAAAAATGTACGGCTGCGCTTAGATATTAACGATACGATATAGCATTTGATGCATCCGACGAGTACTTGAAAGTGTCCGAGAGGACCGCAATTGATTGTGTAGATTGGTTTTGAGCATGTGTGTATGAGGTTTTTCACAAAGAATATTTGCGTAAACCTACTCCACGTGATATTGAGAGATTATATTTGTCTCATCAAGAGAGACATGGATTTCCGAGAATGCTTGGTAATCTTGATTGTACGCATGTCGCGTGGAAAAAATTTCTAATTGCGTAGCGCGATCAATTTACTCGAGGTGATATAGGTGAGCCAAGTATAATACTAAAAGTTGTTGCATCTCATAATTTGTGGAAATGGCATTCGTTTTTTGGAGTTACGGGGTCTAACAACGTGTGACAACCCGAAACTTCTATGTTGTACAATTGGTCAACTCTATCAATGTTAAAATCGATTATGTTACCTTTTAGCACTGTTTAAGGGTTCGTTTAAGTGTTCTAAGCTTGAGTACAACCAAGGTTGAGATTAGGGATGAGCTATCAAGTCGTAAAGTAGCAAAAATCGGGCCATACACTCTCTTAGGAGGAGTGTACAGCCGTACACATGGGTGTGCGGCCGTACACCCCCCCTCATGGCCGCACACTCGAGGTGGTGGGTCACCCACCCCTATATATACGAGTAGACCCCCTTTCTTCATTCCTTTCTCCTCTTGACTGCACACTACTCCCTTCTCTCTCAAGTTTCTTCAACCGTGAACTCTTCAAGGCTTCAAAAACGTGAGTATTCCATCCTTTAGCTTGCTATACTTGAAAGACTTCTTGATTCAAGCCTTGGTTCATCAAAATCAATCATGTTCTTCATCCTTTGAAGGAGTACGGCCGCACACCCTCATAAGGTTGGTCGTACACCCCCTTAAAGGCTCTCCAAAGTGAGAGTTTGGCCCCTATCTTCTGGTTGGACATGATCTTAGCCTTGATGCACCTTAAAGTCGACAACTTGGGCATGAACATGACGAGTGTACGGCCGCACACACACCTTAGGGCCGTGCACCCACTTTGATGGACATTTTAGGCCTCAAACTTGCATTACAACCAAGCATGGGACCTAGAACACTTCCTTGATACTTCTTAGGGCCTTAAAACACCTCAACATGCACACTTTTTCATGAGTGTACAGTCGTACACTCATGGGCCGCACACCCAGGGCCGTACACACCCTTAGGGTGGCCGTACACCTCCTTCACTCAATCCCATACGGTTTTAACACTTAGTCCAAGTGTTTCCAAGTCCTTGGGGTGGTTTCCTATCATGTCTAAGTCGTGAAATACCCTAAATTGAATCATATATGTGTTATTACATGTTAAATAGGATCCATTTGTGTTCGAGGTTTCAATTGACACTTAGTATCTCTTATCGATCCTTCATACAAACTCCTCACTCGAGGTGAGTTCATACCCCTACACCTTTACGATTTTTAAACGTTTTCAGGGGGAATACAAGCCAAACACAAATGCTTTTGTGAACTAATACGAAAGGACTTTTATAAGTATAAAACTCATGCAATTGATTCAGACAAACGATTTTCATATTTGTATAAAATATTTAGATATCTTATCCCTTTTGTACTATGTTGAGCATAAGGGACGTTTTCAACTTACAACCAAAATTGCATAGTTTTTCAGATTCAACATTCACATCATATACATGTAAACTATAATAGGTATAGTTTGGGGTTTCAAAACATAACTTCTACGAATTCAGAGTTATTCACCACTAAACATATAAACTATGGCAGATTTAGTTTATGGTATTCTTTACTACAAAGGCATGGCATTTAATAATTATTTAAGTATAATTATTACCGTATACCGCATCCATCGGATTCTAATACAAGAAAACACCTTAGAATTACATGTAAACTAGATTATACAGAATTGTGAGACACTACTTCAAAACGGTACCCTTAGGTGTACTGAATTAAATCCTATCCTAGTATAACCAGAGTCTCCTGGAGGGAGAGTGTGAGATTTGTGAATAGATCTATTCGGGATTGACAATCCCACACCTGAACTGCTAGCTACAGTTAGGCAGGCATGCATGGGGTGACAAATGTCATTTAACCAACACTTGAAGAACGTTGTAAATGTCTCTAGGTCATATCAAGCATGGTTATACGACTCACAATAAGTATAAACTAATCATTTGTGTACGGGATTTCACTCTTCAATGGTTTTATTTTAAGTAATAAACCTACTATACATTAATGGTGGTAGCCAGGGATTTTCATACAAGAACTTTCATACAAAACAATACAATACAGTTGGTGGTACCAGACATACATACAAGTACTTTCAGACATAAGAACAGAATTCAATAACGAACTTACAATTGGTCTTAGGGTTTAAGACTACTTTTCATTACTTAAGAAAATATTGGATTTTCTTGGAAACATACAAATATTTCTACAAATTCATTAACAGATTTTCACTACAAAACATCGCTTATGAACTCACCGGCTTTATGCTTATACTTTTTCAAAACTACTTGTATTCTCAGGAAATCAGTAGACAGGTACCTTCTGGATTTTTTGAGAAGTTGGAGCAACTAAAGTCATGTCTTTAGATTTTACTTTCACTTTTGATGTATTTAAACAAGACATATACAGATGTAAACCTTTTACATATATGTATTCAATGTAATGGTTGTGTTTACTATGATTGCTATGATACAATGGTTGTGATACTCCACATGACGTAATCCACCCCTGAACGTTTCCGCCGCTCCGGTTAGGGGGTGTGACACAACGACATCAATGTTCTTGGTCAGTCTCCTATTTTCAATGATATTTGGACCGGCAAAGCACCTGATATGTCGTTCATGGTGAACGGGCATTCGTACAAATATCCTTATGTAACGACCCAACAATCAAGGGTAAAAATTTCAGTTTTATATTACCCAAACATAGATATCATTTATTCCAATCATTCCAAAACATTGTTAATTAAAAACATTTATCAGAGTTCATCCTAAAATCATTCATTGCGGAAAACATGGGTGTGTGCGCTGCGATCAAGCTGAGCCATTCCTTTCCAAAACAAAAATACATGAAACCACAAACAAAACTGTAAGCACGAAGCTTAGTGAGTTCCCCAGAGCATACCTCACATAATCCACATAATCACATAATCCATACACAGCTGTAACAGCTACATAAACCTTATCAGTCACACAAGTCATGCATACAAAACATATAAGGATGCCCTGGAAACCCTCTAGGGTCTTACTCCGGGTGCCATGGGAACCCCCACATGGTCTTAGCCCACTTTCATACCAACCATACATATAAGGATGCCCTGGAAACCCTCCAGGGTCTTACTCCGGGTGCCATGGGAATCCCCACATGGTCTTAGCCCAATGCCATGGAAACCCTCACATGGTCTTGACTAAGGATGATATGGAAACCCTCCAAGGTCTTACACCCTAGTGCCTCGGGAACCCCCCTGAGGTCTTCCATGCAAGCATCACAAAGACAACTAGCATATCACATACCACATAATCAACTAGCATACTACATAACACGAAATCAGCTAGCATATCACATAATGCATAATGGGCCGGCCTTGGTGCCTTAGACCCATTGGTATGGTGAGGAGACTCACCTCGAATGCAGAAGCTTCCCGAAAGAAATCCTTAGTTGCTGCCATGTCCACTTCCCGAGCTTCAGCAATACCAATCAATATACCCAATTAGCAATTGGGTCCCATACCATAATCCTTAATCCATGTATGGGGGTAAAATGACCATTCTACCCCTGGACCGGTACGATCCAAACTTAGGCCCAAACCCAAAACAAAAGCCCAACATTAGGTAGGCTTTCCAAGCCCACCAATGGCCCAATTTGCCAAATTGGGCCCAACCCCTCAAATGGGCCTTACCTTAAGCCCAAACATATTCCTGGCCCAAAACATCTGACTTCTGATGGTCCACTAAGGCCCAAAGGCCCAAAGTCCACTGCCTGGCCCAACCCGAGGCCCAAAACACTCCAAGCCAAATACTGATGAGTATGTGGGACGTACTCCCTTGTACGCTAAGCGTACTAGCCAAATGGTGTGTACGCTGGACGTACCTGCATGTACGCTCAGCGTACTCCCCTGTTAAGTCATTCTCCCATTAAGTGCTTAATACTCAGATCTAGAAGCTACAATCACAGATCCAAGTCCTCTTCAACGTCTAAAGCCATAAAGTTGCTTACTTGATGGCTTTGCATGACCCACATAAGCTCAAACTCCAAAAATGATAAACTACTTCCATGGAAATGGTCTTAACTCATGCATGAACCCATAAAGACCTCCAAGATGGCAACTTTCTGCCTTAGGGACTCATCTAACACTGAGAGTGGCAACTCAAAGCCTAAGAATCGGATTTCAACCATAAAGTTCCATCCTTGGGACCAAAATGAACTAAAACTCACAATGGTAGATCTAAGGGATGAAAGATCAAGATCAAAGCTTTATACCTTCATCAAGCTGAGAATGAGTCCCAAATGCCAGATCCACAAGCTCCTCCTTGATTCCCATCTTTGCAACAAGTTCCAACTTCTTGAAATGCACCACAAACCACCCAAAATGCACCCACCAAGCTCACAACACTCTTGGATGAAGCTACCACTCGAAATTAGGGTTTAAGGCTCTGAGAATGAAAGGGAGGCGCACCCCCTCGGACTTAAGGTGCTTTAAATAGTGAGCCAACCCTAAAAATTAGGGTTTAGGGACTCCAGCGTACGCCTCTCCACACCCGCGACCATAAATCCTTATACGCTGGGCGTAACCCAACTTACGATGGGCGTACCCATCTAAACACACGCATGCATTCCTTGCATGCATGGGCTGCCTTGTCACAAAACTCCATTAGGGGTTAAAATTGACAATAACTTCAAAATGCCATAACTCCTTCATTCTAAGTCCGTTTCCGACGAACTTGATATCCATGAAAAGGTGGCGGGAAGCCCTACGCTCCTAGCCACACTCCCAAGCCTAAAACCTTCCAGATAAACTCGAGATCCCATAAAAGACCGAATCGCTTATACCCCTGGGCTTCCAAACCCGCAACCGAAGTACTTTTCAAAACCGGGTGTTACACCTTACTACCTTTGTGATGGGATATACCCTGATTATTCTACATTTATGAAGGCATACTCGGTTCCTCAAAGTGAATAATCAGAGTTGTTCACAAAAAGGCAGGAATCAGCGAGAAAGGATATCGAGAGGGCATTTGGAGTCCTCAAGCAGATATGACATGTAGTGAAATACGCTACACGACTCTGGGATAAGGATAGAATTAAACGAATGGTAAATGCATGTATTATAATGCATAATATGATTATTGAAAATGAAGGTAAAGCGATTTACACGTTTGATCCGGACGACGTAGTTATCCCGATTGAAGAGTGTGTACCCGGAACGACTGAATTTTTAGCACGAGTTGTTGAGATTCATAACAGTGAAACGTGTTTTAATCTTCGAGAAGATGTCGCGGAACATTTATACAAACAAAACATGAACGAACAGTAGTTTTTTTATTTTTTGAATTTTTATGTTTGTTTTTTTTATTCTAGTTTTTTAAGTAATGTGGTTTTTTAAATTAATGTAATATTTTTTTTTATTGAATAAAAAACTAGTTTAAAAAAATTATATGTTTTTATTGTATTTTAAAATTGTATTTTTGAATTAAAAGATAAAAAATGACGTGAAGTGGAGTGGTAGTGGTAGTGGTAGTGGTGCGTATCTCATAGGTTTAGTGGTAGGATGTGATGATGATGTGGCACCCACCACTATAGTGATTAGTGGTGGGTATTATAGATGATCTAGCATTGATGGGAAATCGAATCTCATAGTTTCATAAACAATATCAATTAGAAATTGTTTGCGTTCATGTTCTCTATCGAACCTGCAACTAAACACAAATCATTCTTATTCATGTTTTTCATCGAACATACAACCAAAACAAATAATTTAATTTAACAAACAAAATTGGTTATCCCTATTTATATTCTTTCATCAAACCTACAACCAAAAATAAATCGCACGTGTTATCAAACCTATGTTGAATAGCTTTCTTGATCTTTCTCTTTGATCAAAACAAACGTACATTTGGTTTTCCTCCCTCCTATGATCAGTAGAATGTCTATATAGGCACCAATTGTGTTTTTTTCTTTTTTTTTTAACGGCAAATCTAACTTACTCGTAGACTACTCTTTAAATTCACATGTGTCCACGACGGGACTTGAACTCTCAACCTCAAGGAGGGAGGGAAACATTGGATACCGTTGGGCTAAAAGCCCTTTGTAGGATCCTTTTTATACCTCTACCTACTAGGGGGGTGTTTGGCAAAATATCATACACCGCTATAAGCTAAAAAAGTGTTTGGATAAAAATATCTTATAGTTGTGGCAAGCTGCTAATAAGTTATTTTTTCATAAGTCAATTCCCTCTAACTTATTAGCTTATAAGTCAATAAGTTAATAAGATATAAGCTAATAAATAATAAGCTTTTTTGTCAAAACACCCCCTAATTTCTAATTTACCAATCAATCAACAGAAGTTAATTATCTTTTATCTTATGACAACTTAACCCTCTCGATTAAACCAAAAGTATAAATAAGACCCATTCTATCATTCCTTTAACTGGATTAAAGAGGTTCAAGGTAACTTGTTTTGTTTGGAGGGTGGAAATGGATAGGACCCCCACTGCCTTGGCTCTTAGATCCCGTGGAGTTTATGTTAACTCCATAGCTTGCAACTTTTGTAACTTCGGTCATGACAATTCTAATCACATCTTTTGTGATTGCTCTTTTGCTAAATCTGTTTGAGAGTGGATTCTTCAATGGTGTGGCTGCCAGACAATGTCTCCTTGCATTTCCATAGCATAAATTTTAGACTTTGCTTATAAATGGGGTAAGAAATAGAACACCCTTTTGGGTATTTGCTATGGCACTATCTGGAGTATATGGAAGGCTCAAAATAATAGAGTTTTTAACAACTCTAAGAGCCCCCTACTAAAGATGCAGACCTCGTCAAATCAATGGTATTCAGTTGGTTTAAACATAGGAGCAAGATACAAAACCCCGGTTGGATTAATTGGAGTATTGACCCATTTATTGGCATGTAATTTTCCTTTTTGCTCTTTCTTTTCTCCGTACTCCTTTTGTTCCTTTGCCTAGCTCCTTGTTAGGCAGGGTCATTTTTAATATATTTTCCAATTCCAAAAAAATCAATCCATTATAAAAAAAGGTTTAATACATATCAGACTAAAGGTTTGGTAAGCATAAAGCATGACCTTCATCCATTGTCCAAATAAAAAAAGTTTTGACTAATGAGTAGCCATGAAAGATCAAATAACATATGAACTCAATATGTTAAATGAGATAATTATACAACAAATAAATAAAGTGCATATGCATCTATCTCAACCTTAGTCCATCTTATATGTCCAAAACTCCCAAATATAAATGGTTTACAAAATCAGACTCATAAGTAGTGAGCACTTAGTACAACTCTTAGTATTTGTCGATTCTAACAATCTAGTAGCATTTCACTCACACTCTAAAGGATAGTCTTATAGGGTGATGTTACCAATAATTTGAAGCAAATTCAAGGGCATTCAAACAAAATCAAGGTTCAAGCCTTTTAAGTGAATCAAGGTACATCCTTCCTTCTTTTTATCAGTAGCACATTATGGTCCTATTTTGATGATTGATATCATTTGGTCTGTAAGATTATGCAAACTACATTACCGTTTTGGTCACTGTTATGATTTACTCATCAGGCCGTAAGGTTACGAAAAGTATAATACCATTACATGATAATAATGTATTGTTATGTAAAGTACATTGATATTAACACATTACATATTAACATAAAATATATTATGGTTCACACAAAGTACATTACCATTAATATAAAACATAATACATTATGATTAACACAAACCACATTAGATAACATTTCCATTAACCATGATCCCATGTTAAAATTGTATTTTTAATTAAAACTAAATACTTCGTTTAACTTTGTTATTAGAAATTTTGCATTCATCATCTCCAATGTTATAAAAAAAGAAGTGAAAGGAAATGTCAATCATATTTTGTATGCCAAAGACTATTTTATATATATGATAAAGACATCGGGATTAAATGTTAAATTTTCATTTTTCATATATTGAACTTTTAACTCTTCCAAGTTATCATCTCTTTTTAATTGACTTCAATTTCATATGTATGCCGAACATAATGGTTTTCTACAACTTGTTGGACTGCTTGGGGTCAATCCCATAAAGGAAGCTCTATATTATCCTTCCATCTTACACATTTTAAAAAACTAGTGTAGGGTTGTATAATCTTGTGAAACTTACTTACAAATGAACAGAGCAACTTTAAAATCGTCTACATGAGTTTGATTACGTCCTTGATGTCATACATTTCATTGTCATACCACAACGGAATTAAATTGGGGAGTTGATCTTATATTCACCATCAATGTTAGGTCTATTGTGATGAAAAGATGAAGACATTGTCCTTCATTAATAATTGATTTTCGATACCCATTCGATTATGCTTCAATCCCCGACCTTAGTTAAAAATGTTATGAAACTTAAGCTTTATAAAAACGGCAGAAGAAACAACATAGTTTAAAATACTATGAAGGTAATTTCAACTTCTTGTTTTTACTTTGATACTATCAACGCCATGTGTTTGTAGCGTAGACAAAAAAAACCCATGCTACCAACTATAACCGATTACGATGATAAAATAAATACAAAACATCAAGTTAAATATAAATTCGCTTTTAAGAACTTTACCTGTCAAAAGAGTAAATCATAAACATTTTAATCACCATTTTGTATTATAAATATTTTAAAAAAAAAAAAGAAGGTATATTTGGCATAGATTAAAACGATAAGCTGTGGTTTTTATTTATATAAATTTTTTCGGTAAAAAATAATTATAAGCTAAAATTACATAAATAAAATAAATAAATAATAAAAAAAAACTAATTAAAATAACTTTTTGATTAACCAAAAGTTCAAAACCAATTATAACCACATACTAGCCCATAGATGATTAGATGTTCCCATTCGTTTCACAATTTATCATGCTACTCGCTCTTTTTCTTCCTTTTAAGATACTGCGATAAAAGGGGGAAAAAGTAAAAACAAAAGGAAAGAGAAAAAAAAAAAAATCAGAAAAGCAGAGAGAGAGTGGTCATTGAGAACTGTGAAGATGTTGTGAAGTTGCTAGTGGAGAACAGAGCAAAACTCAACTGGATTTGGGGTATGAACACTAATATTACCAGAGGAAGTTCCATTCAAAACCTAACCTCCATAGCCATTACAGTTTTGCTGATCGGCCACAACACTCAACTCCGATCTTCTTTTCTCTTATGAGAGAAATGAGTTCTTCACTTCTTTATCTGATTTTCTCAACTCTCGTTTCCATTTACGTGTTCCAGTTTCAAGCTCAAGCTGCTCCTGCTGGTATGCTATCTTCCTCTCCCTCTTTAACAAATTCGATTGTCTATGATTCAGTTTCTGTGCTACATGTATTCATGATTCCGTCGTTTTTAATCAGCTCCGGTGATTAAGCAATTATCTTCCATACTCAAATGGACAGCTAGGTCTTCTTCCAAATCACCATTATCAGGTACTTTTTATTTCTAGGTTTCGTTACTTTCATTATTTTATTGTTTATCTTCTCATTCCATAAATACATACCACTAGATTTAAGTCAATAACCCTAGATTTTATGAATATTCAATTGATATCGATTGATTTATGTGTAGATAATGTGGATTGCCTTTTTTACTTTTTTAATTTCGTGATACACAGATGGGAATATTCTTCAATTTGAGGATGGATATTTAGTAGAAACTGTAGTAGAAGGGAATCAGCTAGGGGTTGTGCCTTATTCCATCAGAGTCTCGCAAGATGGTGAACTGTTCGCTGTTGATGCAGTCAATAGCAACATCGTTCGAATCACTCCTCCATTATCTCAATGTAAGCTTTCTCATTATTTCTCACCTTCTCCTAAATCTAACATTCTTCTACTAATTACACAATTCTTATGAACACAGATAGTAGGGCAAGATTGATTGCCGGATCCTTCCAGGGTTACACAGGACACGTAGATGGAAAACCAAATGATGCTCGTTTTGATCATCCAAAAGGTGTTACAATGGACGATAAAGGGAATGTTTATGTCGCTGATACATCTAATCTTGCCATTAGAAAGATCGGTGAAGCAGGTTTGAGATCCATTTCACCTCATAAATCTACTCCACTTCAAAGATTATTGAAAAACGGATTTATTTACAGGTGTGACAACAATTGCTGGAGGAAAATCAAATGTAGCAGGATACAGAGATGGCCCAAGTGAAGATGCACAGTTTTCATCTGATTTTGATGTAATTTACGTGAGACCAACATGTTCATTGCTTGTTATTGATCGAGGAAATGCTGCTCTTAGACAAATTTCTCTCAATCAAGAAGATTGTGATTTGCACTCCACCTCTGTCTCTTCCACAGGTTTTGAACACTTATCTACATATTTGACCTTGACTTTATTTGACTAAACTAAATCCAAATACATCTTACATTTTATTCACTTTACAGATATTGTTTTAGTAATGGGTGCTATAGCAATTGGATATGTTGTAAGCATGATTCAACAAGGTTATGGTTCATCATATTTCTCAAAAGTGGTAAGACTTTGATGCATTTTTCCAATTCATGTTTTATATAATATTAGAAAAGGTAAATCTTTTTAATTTTCTATAACCTAATTCAACATATTGGCAGGAAAAGGTGGAGAGTGATAGTAAGCCACTACAAAGCAAAGAGAAAACCTTAAAAATCACAAAAAATGTGGAAAGTGTGAGGGAAGAACAAGAAGCGGGGTGGCCGTCTTTCAGCCAGCTCATCCTCGATCTTTCCAAATTAGCCCTCGAAGGCTTCACCAGCGTCTTTTCTTTCAACCCATTTCAAGTCCCCAAAAAAGGGCTCACCCCATTAAAAGATTCCTTAATCATGCCCGAAGATGAGCCCGGCCCGTTACTCCAAAAGCACAGAACTTCAGGCCCGGTTTCCGAAACCCATCAGGCCCATAATCCAAATGAGAAATACTCAGAAACAAAGCCCGTTAAGGTTAGATCATCGAAAGATCCTTTAAAGCATCGGGCTTCAAAGAGGGAAGAATACGCGGAGTTTTATGGGTCGAGTGGTGGTGGTGTGGGCCCACATGTTCGGTCAAAAAGTCAAAAGGAAAGGACGAAGCATCGGGTTAGAGATAAGGATAAAGATAAAGATAAAGATAAAGTTGTGTATGGGGAGCACAAGAGTACGGTTGACTTGAAGCAACAACCGGTCAACTTTGAGGAGGGGAAGTTTAGTTATATGAGGAATAAGTATGGTGATTCGTATCGTTATACTTAGAGAAGGTTTTGTGAAATTGTAGTGTTGTAGACTTATTATAATATACAACTTGTTTTATGGCTTAAGATATATTGTTGTTCATTTCTAAGTTGCTTTAAGTGTTTGTACTTTGTATAGTGGAATTATGTAGCTTCCAATCAATCTTTGACCTTTTAGGCAAAATTATGTTTCACAAAAACTTTTTTTTTTTTGCAAAATGTGGGAAATTTGGTATATAGGACAGCTTAATGGTAACCGAATCACATATCTTCAAACACAAATCCAAGTACGAAACCAAATCACATATCTTCAAACACATAAAATAAGGTACTTACGAGCACTTTTTATTTGAGGAGGACACGGAAGAAAGATATGATGTTTCATAGCACATAACGTTAGATTTGATGAGTTGTTTCTTGGATTTGATGTCTGGTATAGCACATTATCAGTTAGGTAAGTTTGGTGATGAGAAAGTTATGTTTAGCAAATTATCATTTCAAATATCCTAAACTTGGCAATTTTGTCTGGCTATAGCCTATATGACGACTATGATGCAAAATACTTTATAGACCTTGTTCATTGTATGTTACCACAAATGGTAACATTATGCGTTGGTATATCTGACCTTAGATAATAAAATAGTGATGGTGAATCTGAATATAGAGAATAAAAAATCAATGTCTATAGAGGTAGAAATTATTTCTAGGGTGTCTCCCTACCAATGTAAGTTGATGTTATCGCACCAAGAGTATTAGTATGCTATGAGCCTTCTACACATGTCAAAACCCGATAAAATTTCAAAGGTAACAAAGATTTGAAGCTAGCATTAAGAATGAAATGTGTTGAAGAGGGTTTTTGAAATTTGTATTAAAAATAAAAATAAAAATAAAAATAAATTGATATCCTTGAACAGAGGTGGGTGCTAATGGCAAACGATTCAAGGAGAAAGTGGTGAGAGAATATAACGCGGAGTATGATGGTTTTCGTAAAATAGGAGGTGAGAAGTACAGAGAAAGGTGTGAATGGAGGCACAAAAGATGCCAAAGGTAATAAAGTGAAGGGTTGTGGCGTTTTCATTGGAGAGGAGAATGAAAAGATTGTACATTTTATAGTGCTTTTCTAAAAATAAACATGTAAAGTGGTGTTATCTTTTTTTCTTTGTAGTTGTCTTAGCCATAGAAAATGACTAGAAAAGAAGAAACTAACTAAATGTATACAACAATTAGTTTAATGGTAAATTATGTATAAAAATATAAGTTTGATGAATGTGAGCTTAATGGTATTTTTTGATCAGGTAAACCAACTTACCGATTAGAATGATACTTCTTGAAGAATAAATATGAGTTTAATAATAAATCATATAAAAAACAAATATGTAAATTAATATTATATTTCTTCTTTGTAGTTGTGTTAGCCATAGAAGATGACCAAAAAAGACAAAACCGACTAAATATGTACAAAAATTAGTTTAATGGTAAATTATGTAAAAAATGAGTTTGAAAGATGTGAGTTCAATGGTCTTTCTTGAACAATAAACCAACTTGCCTATTAAAATGGTATTTCTTGAGCAACAAATGTAAGTTTAATGATAAATCATATACAAATATAAAATATAAAATAGAAAATAAATATGTACAAAAATAATAGTTCATTGTCTTATAAAACAAATTGTTTCACCGTGTATGTTCCATTTCTAAATAGCTTGTGAATGCATGGTGAAGCTGTACCATGGATATGTGCTAAAGCTACTGTTTTCCAAAAAGAAAAATATCTTATCAACTTTAAACTGTTGTTTTTTGTTCTCATGGGTTTGATTTAATTATCCAATGAAAAACAAGTTGAGAAGAATCACATGAACTTCAAACTTTTTATCACGAGAAAGAAACAATGAAGCTACCCAAGTACCCAACCACTCGTATTTAAATCTTTCTTGAAAGACTTCATTTGCCTTGAATACTATTACAATAGTGTCTCCACTCTCCACTCTCTACCTGTGAAGTTTAGAGACCAAAAATGGGTTGTTATCCATCTTCACTAAATAAAGAACACTGTAAGTCTCACCATGTCCAAACGAGGATTTTTTGTTTCTTGTTTCCTGATGTTACAATTTTATTTTATTTTGCTAAAAAATGACATTAATTTTGTTTATTTTATATATTAAAGCGAGAAGGACAAAAAAGATAAGGAAGCCAAAGCCATGGAAGTTCCCACGCCCGGTGACGTGGAGTCAGCTTGTGCAGATGCGTGATGAGTTTTGGGATACAGCCCCCCACCACGGTGGCAAGAAAGGTAATTTCATTTTACTTTTTTATTACTAATATTATTAAGAAAAACTTATTTTTCATTTCTTCTGATAAATATTTAACGTTATCCAAAAAAAAAAAAGAAATATGGGATGCCATACATGCGGCAGCAGAAGCTGATATAGAGCTTGCTCAAGCAATCATAGACAGTGCTGGTGTCATTGTTCATAAACCCGATATGACAGTTTGTTATGATGAAGGAGGTCTCTTTCCTTTCCTTTCCTTTCCATTCATATCAACAAATGCATCTCTTGGTTGTACCATATGGTACAACCCACCATTGCATTTCATATCTTGGGTATATAATTTAATAATTTTTTTGTGATATTTACATTTACAGGTACTAAATATGAAATACCGAGGTATGTGTTGAGCGAGCCAACAAACTTAATACAACTAAGTTGATTGAGATAATACATACAAGAAGCACACAAACAAACGGGGGATATAAATATAATGATATATTATTATTACTACTACATGTATCTTAATAGTTTTTTTTAAAGCCTGGTTCCACTTTTACTTTTCAACATTTCCAGGCTCATGATTCCATTCTGTAGTTTTATTAGTTTTTAGGCATATTTTTGTAATGGGTTCCAGAAATCCTATGAAAAAAATAATAACTTACAACTTTCGTCTTCTAGTTCTCTTATCTATTGTATTTGTGCAAAGAAAAACCATAGGCTAAAATGTAAGCATGATATAACCAAACGAGTGTACATCTTAATCAGCATAAAAATAAATTCCACATAACAAAACTATAGTAGTTATCCAGAAATGAGGAATTATTTCTTTTTGAAGAAGGACATGATATTCCCCTGTTTCGGATCCTTGGAAATGGCTTTCTTGTTTCCTGCTTTTCCTGTTGCATTGGATTGAACATTTCCAACCTTCTTGGCAGCAGCTGCTGCAAGAGGACTGATATCACAAAAAATTTAGCTTTTATTTAATAAACATCGAAAAGCTTATAACTTTATTCAAAAAGTTTAAATCTTTACTCAATAAACCTAAAAAGTTTAAAGCTACTCAATTATGAGAAAAGCCAAGATAGACATCACTTATCACAATATGGTGGTATTTAATATCATGTAATATGCATGAAAAAGTAATTATGAAGTAAAGATATCAGATATGATATGCGATGTGTGATATATATATATATAATATATATATATATATATATATATATATATATATATTATATATATATATCACACATCACATATCATATCTGATATCTTTACTTCATAATTACTTTTTCATGCATATTACATGATATTAATATATATATATATATATATATATATATAATTCAAAATAGGTACAAAGATACTAATTAATTACCTGTTGGTGGTAATGCTATTATTGTCGTCTTTATTTTTTCTTGTATTGTCATCAGGTTTTGTTTCTTTCTCTTCTTCATCCTCCCAAACAACCTCAGTTACTGATAAATAATCAAAAACATGAGATTATTTACTTATAGAATACTTCAAACTTTTTCTTACTTTTATTTATTCATGTTTTTTTTAATAATTCGAAGCTAAATTTAGTTTATATCATACCTTCTCTCCCACGCTCATCGATTCTTGTCTTCAAAACTTTTCTCTTTTTAATCGCCTTTTGAGCAGCATCATTCCCTTTAGCTTTCTGTTCTACATCATCTTTTTCAGGACATATTTTCTCATTTGAAATAGGCTTTCCAATTTTCTTGTCATGGTTTTCTTCTTTTAATATATTTTTAGCATCAATGTCAGATACCTTCACTTTCTCTTCCTTTGGTTCATCAAAATCCAAGCTCTTATTTTCAAGACCTGCAGTTTTTTTAGAACTTTTCTTTGAATCAACAGAAACTTGCTTTTTTGGAGGATCAGGTGAGGCTAAACTCACTACATCTTTTATCTCCTCATCTTCATCAGAGTAATCAATGACAACTCTCCTTTTTCTATTATTCCCATCACCATTAGAACCTCTCTTGAAGTTCATTTGCTTATCTTCATCACCACTACTATCATCTTCTTCCAATTCATTAGCAAGAACTTGAGCATCTGATAGAATTTAAAAGCACAATTAGATGTGTAAACAAAACTTTCAGCTAAATCACAATGAGATTAGATTATTAGAAGCAATAAAGCAAACCAACCATTTGAAACAGGAATGGGATTATCAGTTTTTACAGGGGCAGATTCGGGCTTTGGTTTTGCAGATGCACGACCCCACATACTAGCTAATGAACCTGAAGTCCCAGAAGATGTTTTATCATTCTGGGCTTTCTTTTTGTTTGGCAATTGAGGAGCTTGCTCTTTTTTTGGAACTGGTTTGACCTCTTGTTCAATTGCTTGTGCTCTATGGCTTCCATTTTGAACATCTTTTCCCTTATCAGGTTTAGGGTTTGATTGTTCAACCTTTTTTTCTTGAAATGAAGCTTTGCTGACTATAGGTGTTCCTTCAGCATTGCGTTTCACAAATGAATTTGAGACCCCACAAAACCTGAAAAAAAAAAGTTAGAGAAATGAATGTGTATTGCAAGCAATTGATGAAAAAACAAAAAGATATGAACACCTCACCTGTTGTCACGTAAGCAATTAACAACATTAGGGGGCTCCTTGAAGAGCTCTTCTGCTTGTATAAACTCGGCATTCCACAGCACTGCTGGATCTTTAGGGATACAAGCTTGAACACTATACACTTGAACTGAACAATTGTCACCAAATTCTTCTTTGGCTTCTGCATAAAATGAAAAGAGGAATTGAACGTGTATATCACGTATTACAACTGCAAAATCTAAGCCATGGTTGTACAGAATCTGACCTGAAAGTTTAGAGCTCAAAACAAGCTTTGTATGGTAAACTGAAGGATTATTCTTCAACCATCCAGATAAAGAACATAAGACTTCCAGTTGAGATCCTTGCTTTTCCACGAACTCTTGAAGGAGTCTATGCACAAAGATGTTGATCAAAAATCCACAGATGGAAGTGTAAGTGATATTAGAGCTAGGAGAATATCTGAAAAGAAAGAAGAACTCACTTCTTGGCAGTATTTGATGGCACCAAAAAGTTCCGACTCAGCCACTTGTAAGAAACCTAACGAAAATAATTATGATTTATGAGTTGGAAACCTAAATAGAAGTTCTTTTAGGGTTTCTATGTATAAGTCAGAAACCTAAATATAAGTTCTATATGCAAGCACACACATACCACGAATCAGTCATACCACATAATTAATTACTTCTTCCAGACAAATTTAATAACGAAACGATTGGAAAACAACACAGTAGGCACCAGCGATTATAGATTTTGTTATCAACTTTCAACCTATGATTCAATCAGTCTTAGATTTAACGACTATGAACAGAACATAACGAAATACAACATGATCTACGAGGCGCTGCATATAGTGGCGAACAATTTGAAGAAAACGATAAGGCGATAGATAGAGCAAGAGATATATACCACTTGTAGCTTATCGGAGACGAGTGCTTGAATCTCATCTAGAATACCTAGGGTTTCGATATCGGCCATGTCTCCTGAGGTGGGAGGGATCTTTCTCTAACCAACAATATGCAGCGATTACACGATTTCAGCGTTTCTCTTCCCTCCAGATTCTTTGATTTCCCGCCATTTCCTTTGCCGCTTTTCTTATTTTCTAATTTCCCTTTTTCTTCGTTTATATCATCAAGCCATCGACATTCAACACTCAACAGTTGGGCCTGTCCGAGTCATTTGTGTTGTGCACGTGACGTCTACAATGCACGTGATTTTGTTTAAAGCAAATCACAAATTTTCTTATAAGGAATGTGTAATATTTTGTATAAACTTGAAAGTAACTTTAGATATAAATTTTTATATTTTTTTATCGTTTAGATATAGACAAATATTGCATTTGTTATTAAACTTTATCATAAGAACGTAGATACTTGTGTATGGAATGAATTTGAACATAGTTTATAAAGGGAAATTGAAAGTATATCGAGCTTTATGTATGACAAGTATTAACAAGAAATGTTTTAAATGATAGTCTTATCCTTTTTGTTGATAACTTGGTAATATGGAATATTGTATACGTTTTAAGGTATTAATTATAAATAATAGTTATTATAAATGGATTATGTATCCTTAATTAATAATAAGTTTTTTCTAGCATTTAAATTTAAGGATTTTCAAAAATAACAATCAATTTCATTGGCCAAATTTGACTTACATTACATAGCTACATTAGTTGAGACTTCATGGGCTCAAATAGTTCGTATTTCCGGGTTTACTATTTAGGCTTTCCTTTAAACTCTAATTTTCAACAATTGATATCTACTCATTTTAATTTCTAATTTTTCATCATTATGTAATTTCTGATTAATAAGTTTTTCACCAATCTATCTACAATTCACTATTGCATTAAAAATCACTATGCATCATGAATCATGATTCACATATCTCACACACGTGTCCCTTTTAAGCTATACTTCAATTACAAATACATGTTTTTACCAAATACCAATAATGTGTGTCGTGTAACATTATGACATTTAAAACAATCACATTCGAGCAATCTTATCAGTGAAGATGTAAACCTCATCGTATCCCTTCCTGCACCCAAACAATAATATTCAAATAACTAAAAGTCTAAAACCAATATTTAAATTCATTACAACAATTTTAATTTCATAAGTAATTAATTTTATGCTCAAAAGATGGGAAAACTTACCCAGCATACCCACAATAAGTGGGGCTGAAATTGTAAATTAGATTATCCAGCACTTCCTTTGTGGGCGGCCTGTTGTACGATTTTCTAGCCTCACTACATTTCCAAAAAAAAAAAAATCAAACTTTCATTACATAAAAGTATATAATTAAAATCAAACTTTATTAAATTAACAAAAGCGTACCTCACAAAGAAGTTGGCAACATGTTGAGTCACTTGAACTGCATCATCTGAATGTGGAATCATCGATAAGCCCCACTCAAAAGCATTTTTCTGCATCATATATACAACATTTACTTGCATATTAAATTTCTGCATCAATAAGCTATCTCAAATAGCTCTTTTTAAAAAGCTAGCTTATAAGCTACTATATAGCAAGATGATATAGACATTTAGTAAGAGTAATACCTCTGGGTGCCATTGGACAGCTGTCACAGGGTAACTTTTTGATTGAACTGTTGATACATATACCTCGTTATTTTCATCAACACTGGTTGTTAAGATCTTGAAGAAACTGCAGAGTTCCATGTTTCCTTGAAATGTTTCTGGTGATATGCCAAACTGTTACATAGACAAATCAAAATTTAGGATTGAAAAGAATTCTTTGGATTAAGATCATTTTAGCAATGGTTGAACTCACTTTATGGTTTTGCATCACAAGGCATTCTGTGCTCATCTTTGCAAGTAACTCAGGAGGAAATCTGTAGAAAAACAAAAGGATTAACTTAACATTTCAGTTATGGAGATCATACAAGTTATTCGTTTTTAACAGCGGTTTTTTCAATGTAATATACCTTTGAAACAAAGTTCCTTCAACGTTTATGTTCTTCATGAACTGGAGTGTTGAAGCTTGATCTGATGCACTAAAGCTTTCAAGGATTTCATTGTTCTAGTGACATAAAAGAACTACAAACAGTGAAAATCAATGCATAAACAATGATAGTGTAATACATGGATGAACATGGCTTACTTTGCTAACAATCATTGTTAGCAGTTCAAAACCTAAGCATATTGCAAGCAATGGGAAATGGTCGCCTGCATCATTCTTCTTCAGAACTTGCTGCAAAAGTAGAGAATTAAAGAACCCGATAACATTAAGAGCACATGATCATGAATCAAGATGTTTTTCAGAATAATATTTCAATAAGAAGTTGCAATTACCTTAAAAATTCTGTCTACAACATCAAGGTAGAGGCCAGTCTTAGCCCATCCACCGGTGAAGATCACTCCATTGATCAGATTGAGTTTCTGCAGTGCAATTGAACAGGTTATCTAAATTTATGATGACACAATCAAACTTTGACAACTAAAAGCGATTTTATAGGATAGGCACATACGGCCATTGGATTTCGGATGCTAGATAACACTAACGAATACACGTAATTAATTAGATCCAGATAATTTTATAGGTTAAATTTCAACGTTCTATTCGATGCCGATTAATCAATTCAGTTGAAATTTCTGGAAATGGAATTATAGATTGAAGATGTGAGAAATTACACTCTGTAGAACCTCCGAAGGTTCGTTATAGATGAGAGGAATGACCCTGGCTCCGGCAGATTCAACAAATTTGACATACGAGGCAGCAATATACGAGGCATTAGTAGCGTTATTAAGTCGACCGGAGGCACCGTCGCCTGGATGGCTGAGAATCCCGATTATCGGGCGGTAATTCAGCTTAGGATCCGGCGCAGGACACGATGAAGTCAAACCAGCAACAGAAGCAGAGCGCAAGAAGATTTTTGACTCAGAAGCAGCGTTAGCGGAGCTGACCTCTTTCATGAGAGACAGCAGAAAAGGGATCCATATGTAATTCCACATGTCGGAAGTAGTAGCAGGTGAAATGGACGGAGAACTGGAGGAGGATGAGGAGTGTTCAGTAACGATAGTGACAGAACACGGTGGTGGTAGTGGTGGTGGTTGTGGCGGTTTCATCAGCAGATGATGTGAGAGGAAGCAGCGGAGGAGGTAATCGACGGCGCTTGAGGTTTCAACATCGGAGAAACGAGAAATGTGATCGACGCCGCCGTTGGCTATATTACCGGATCGATAATCCGGAATTTAATCGGAAATAAGAATTTTGTCTATATTTACACGTTCTATTCATTATTGAAATATAATATTTGTATTTTATAAAAGTAAAAAACAGGATATTTTAATTATTAAAAAAATCTGTATCTTCTATATAATAGCCGTTCGTTCATGACCCGGGCACGCGTAAAGCCGTGAGCGACACGAAGTAACATCACGTGAACAAGAAAATGTTATCGCTAACTTTTAAATTGTTCTTTACTTACTATTAAGTAGTGTGAGACTCGTGTATTATACGGGTTTATTAACAAGACCACAGTGTGAGCAAAAAAAATCATTCACGCAAGTTTTGGTAACTACAAAGATCATTTTCATAAAAAAATAAGTAACGCAGTTTGTGACATTTGTTAAACCGTATGGATTATTTATGTAATTTGGTATTAATTAATCTATACTAACAAATTAATTAATATGAATTCACAAATAGAACTACTATCTACATTAATATACATATACATTAATTAATATATTAATAGAAAAAAGAATTCATAAATAGAAAGTTATTATGTACATTAATTAATATTTAATTAATATGAGGTGGCATTTAATAGGTGGAATTTTAATAAAAAAAAGAAAAAAACTATAAAAATGACAAGTGAATATTAAATAATTCAAAAAGATTTAGAAAATGACAAGTGTCAAAATGAAGGAGAAGATGACATGTGGCAAAATCATTCTTATTTATTAGGGTAGATATGTTCTTATTAGTATTGGCAAATATTAAGTTTATATAAAAAAAATCTATTTTGACACTATTTTATTTCTTTTATCTTGAATTAGACATTTTGTTTCCAGTTTGTTACAATTCTGAACATTTAACCGGTCAAACTAATTGTCTGCTGACGTGACAGTTTTTTATGATGTGACATATTGTTGAAAAATATTAAGGGTTTTTAACATTCAATCTCATTAGTTATTAGTTTTGGATTAGTTTTGTATTTATTTTTGTTACAGGGTTGGTTGTGTACATATTGTTATTCCTTGTTGTGGCACTTTTTGTTATTAATCTGGTTCAAAGGGTTGTTTATGTTATTATGGCTTTTTTCTGGGCTGCGCCTCGTTTTTATCAAACTTGTGCAGAATTAGACACACGGATTTTGGGATCCAACCCATAATCTTGACCCGATGATATAAAAGGAAGGGCAGTTGTATTTTTTTAGTATTAGATTCATTTTTTCTTGACAAAACTTCAAAAATGGTCTCTGTGGTTTCCGAAAATCTTAAGTTTAGTCTCTAATTTACAAAAACCTCACGAATCGTCCCTGTGGTTTCAAAACTTTTAACATTTGGTCCTTCCGGCTCACTCCGTTACCATTTAGCCATTAAATAAGGGGCATTTTTGTCATTTCACTACCAAGGACCAAGGTTTTCTATTACTTTTTAAAAATAAATAAATAAATAAATAAAATTTAATATGCAAGAGGTCTCACCCCTCTCTCTCTCTCTCCACCTACAAATCAAACCCATCTCTATTTTGTGACTGTCGGCTTCCCTTTTTGCTTCTACTCTCTTCTCCCCTTTCTTGATTAAGCTTTTTGACAGCAACAACAAGACGGGTTCCAGGATTAGTAGTCTCATCGATCCAACCCTTGAAACCGATTCAAAATCGTCTTCTCCCAGGCACTATAAGTTTCTCTCGGATATCAAGTGTTGTAATCGCTGGTGATGACAGAAGGAGTGATAATAACTCCGGTGAGGAGCTAAAGATGTCGGGGCCTGAATTCCTCGTTGAGGTAGCGAAGGGCCTGAGAAAGGATCTTGGATTGTACCTCTTTAATTTCGATATGATTAGAGATGGTGAAGGAGATGGGTATCTGGTGATTGATATGAATTACTTCCCTGATTACGAGAAATTGCCTTCTTATGAAACTGTCATGATTGATTTCTTCTTAAATGTAAAGAAATTACAGGAGTTGGAAAAGATGAAAAAGAAGGAGATCGATGACAGGTGGAAATTTGATAATCAAAAGTAAATCTGGTAATGAAGTTGATGAAGTAGATATGATAAAGAAGGTGTCTTATAGGGGGGCTGTTTTTAGTTGCAGAAACACACTGAAGAATGGGTTATGAATCTGATCGATTCCAGGAAGAAAGATTCAAAAGCAGTCGGGTTTTATGCCATTAAAATGGGTTATGAATCGACTATCGAGTGAAGAAATTCAACATGTGACAGTAGGAAATTGGAGGCGAGATTGGAATTATTCACTGTAGAGTATACACTTCTCATCATTTCTGCAAATCAATCGAAACTAGCACCAAAAAGCAACAAGAACATCATCATGCAGACATCTAGCTACAAGTGAATAAAGAAAGGAAGTTGATTTCTTTTGTGTTTGTTTTCATTCTTCAAGGGCTGTTGATTATTAGCGAATAATGGGGGATGTAATTATCAGGCTTAACATGATCTGGCACTTGATCATGTATTGGAGAGAGAGAGAGAGAGAGAGAGAGATGGGGTGGGACCCCTTGCATATTAAATTTTATTTATTTATTTATTTATTTAAAAAAAAGTAATAGAAAACCTTATAAATGGTCCTTGGGTAGTGAAATGACAAAAATGCCCCTTACTTAACGGCTAAATGGTAACGGAGTGAGCCGGAAGGACCAAATGTTAAAAGTTTTGAAACCAAAGGGACGATCCGTGAGGTTTTTGTAAATTAGGGACTAAACTTCAGATTTTCGGAAACCACAAGGACCATTTTTGAAGTTTTGTCTTTTTTCTTTTGCACACACAACCTTCTGGTTATTTGTCCTTAAATTATATAAGAATAGTTGACGTTAGGAAAAACTTGTTTCCATACTTTTCAACATGGTATCAGAGCTATGGCGGTTCAAAGTTTTATTCATTAACTAATCTGTTATTGCGTTCGTCATTGACGTCAAGGTTAGGGAATCTGATCCCTTTGTTTTTCCGCATTTTATTTTCCGGTTGTTTTGCCCTTTAGATATGAAGTTATTGATTCAGATCTTAGGTTTTCCTTTGGTGCCTTGTAGATCTATCTTGATTTGATAGATCTAGGATTTCTTGGTTAAACCTTATATACTTCTAGTTACTACGAGGTTGTTTGTCTGTGTTTCAGGATCAATCTACTATGGTCCTATTCTCTGTTATTCCTAGGAAGCTCTGTTGTTGCTATTAGCTTCAATCGGGCAATCTCTAAAAGTGTTTAGCTTAACTCTATTGATAATTGATTTGATCACTGAAGTAACTAAAGATGGAACATAATTAAGGGATACGGTCTCTCCAAACGTGTTTATAAGGAACTTTGCGATACATTTCTTGTTCCCTTTTATATCTCACGTCGTGACCCCCCCCCCCTAAAAAAACAAAAGCTATAAATTCAAGGAATTAAGTACCTCAGGGATCTGGATGTTACACCAACTCAGACATGGAAAACTCATTTGAGCTGACCTCAAGACGTGAACATGTTGTTGTCACGTCGTGAGCCCTAAAAAGGCCCAGGAAAAAATAAGATCTTTCATTCTCACGTTGTGAGACCTTATGTCTCACGTCGTGACTACAGTCTGAAGCCAAAATCCAAAGATATAAGTCCTTAGTCCCTAAATTCTTTCACTCTAACTTTCCTAAAAGCCAAAGGGGACTCCAAAGGTCCATAAAAATGATTACTTGATGGACATGCATGCCTCATGCATGTCCTCCATCTATTATAGGTCAAAATGAAGAGGTTAAAGCAAAATCCTCATGCATGGGTCCAATAATCAACCAACTTCTAGATCTGAACAATAATCATACTCCAAGGACCCTTAGAATGCATAACGTTGCCAATTTTATGTATTCCTTCCAATCAAACTTGCTTAGACATGAAATAAATGGGACAACAACTTAGATCTAACCACCTTAAGCAATAAAGTTTGAGTCTTTGCACTTAAAAAGGTCCAAAAAACAAAATGAGGTGATGATGATGATGTTTCCTTGCAAGCTCCACCAATACAACTCCTTCTTCTCTTATTCTTCAAGCCAAGAAATGCTCCTAAAGGTGAAGAATCAACCAAGGAATTAGGGTTAGGGTTTTTCTGAGGTAAAAGGGTGTTGGGGGTTGGTAATGAACCCTAAAAATGACTTTAATGGGCTTAAATATGAAGAAACTCCTAAAAGATCATGGGATTGGGCTGTAACGGTTCTCACGTCGTGAGACCTTATGTCTCATGTCGTGAGATTAGTCCCGAAACACATTTATCATATTTACCCTTGTCATGCCGTGACCACCTAATGGTCACATTGTGACACTCGATTTTCTCCAAAAATCGACCTCTTGACTCCTTGAAACCCTAAATTGACCCATCATGGAAAACGGGGTTTACAATACAAGTTGGAAATATCTTTTCGAAACCCCAAATGATCGAGCCACTCTTCAGGCATATATATCAACATACTAATATTTCTTTACCCATAATCGTAATGTTTCGTCCATTTTTAGCAATGATTGTAATATACAACGTGAAATTTGTTAACAGTTTACAGGTTCAGTGAAGTTATATATTGCTACTTTTGCTAAAAACATATAAATAATTACACTATTATTATCGTTGGAGGCAATTTGAATGCCAACTGTTTTTTTATTTGCCTTTCATAAATGATATGTAGTGTCCACAAGCATAAAGTGCATGACAAAAAGACTTGAAAACATAAAGGATGAAGGTGTGGAGAATTGGATATCGACAACATGTCCACTTCCCCCACACCCTAAAGGAACCCATGTAGTTTGCAACAAAATCTCAAATGAATAAGAGAATATACATTATATCTCAACGTTTTGTTAAATATTAACTAAACCTGCATATTTTCATATTATTGTAGTAACCTCATCCATTAGCAAACCCAGATAGTCCTTTGGTTTCTCTGAGAAAAAGCGATGAAAAGAAGGTAAGTATTATGTATATTAGCTATCTTTTTAGTTTCTTTTGTTCGAGTATCTAACTAAAATACATATTCAAAGGTACGTATATAGCGACGTGAGAAGAAACACATAGGGACCGAAGATAGGCCGATGTAACGTCCGCAGATTCGGGCTAGTCAATTTAGAGACAATAAGTGTTAAAAATGAATTTTTGATAGAATATTATTTAGAGTAAATAATTTTAACCAAAGTTATAGTATATGTCACAAGGACTCCGTACATATAAAGAACGTTGAAATCCGACTTATAACAAAGAAACTATGGCCCGTCGAAGTTTTGCGACAAAACCGGCACAATGCCGCATATCGTAAAAAGTGAGTTTGCGATAGAATACTTTTTAGCCATATCGATCTAAATGAAAGTCATAGTATACGTTAAACCGAGATCGTGCATATAGAGAACGTCCAAATTTGACTTCGTTTGAGGAAGTTATGATTTTTCTAAGATTTGGCATAGCAGTATGCAGTCCGGAAATCGAATTTTAGATCGATCGATTTTTAGCCGACACAACCTGAATGAGAATTGAAGATCTCGTTAATAAGAGATCAACGATATAAATACAGACAAAAATGAACGTCGGATGACAAAGTTATGAATTTTTAATGGACTTTAACTATCTAAGCCTGTTAAAATATGACTTTAAAAATAAAGTCAAAATTGGCCGACATAGTCTAAAAGAAAATTGTAGATCACGTCGCTACCTATGCGTGGATATAAAGAACGTCAAAAAACGGAGCTCGTATGTAACACCCATAAAATTCATGCCAAATTTAAACCTTTAAAAATATTTCAAAACCAATAAATCATTACAAACTTGTTTTCAAAATGTATCATATCAGAGTTTCCCACAAACATAAACAAAACAGAAGGAGTTGTACGATCACGCATTTGCCTTGTCGCGATCCCCTGATGTACTTGAAACAATAAACTGAAACTGTAAGCCCGAAAGCCTAGTGAATTACCCCCAAAATACCAACTCATATAACCATAATCATATCATATCAACAAATACATAACAACATGCATAATGTGTTGGACAGTGTCTAAGTCCATAACTATAATTGGTATGTACTTGACCCGATTTAGCATGGTCCATTTGGGTTGCACTTCACCGGAACAATTTATATGGATAGTGTTTTGAGAATAGTATGTTTATGATTTATATTAATATATTATAAGTTCTAATATATTAATATGGAATCATATTATTTAATTAGTATTGATCAAGAATTAATTTAGAATTAATTTAGTGATTAAAATGAACTAATTAAATATGGACTCTTATATATAGTATGGGCCAAGTTCATTTAGGTTGGGCTAAGCTTGCATGGATAGTCCATGGAGTTTTTAACCCATGGATCCTATGGAAATGAAAGGTCATGGGTATTAGGGTTTACATGGATGAAACCCTAATCCTCCATACTATATAAAGAGGTCTTTGGCACATGAAATTGCACTAGTGTGTGAGGATACAAGAGTGGGCCAATTTCTAGTGTGTATTTTATTCTCTCAAGCTTTCCAATGTGTTTTTGGTGATTTGTAATTCCACTTGAGGCTTCCACACTATTGGGGCTAAGCTCTTAAAGTTCAAGACTTCAAGCTACATCAAAAGGTATGCTATCTAACTAGGCTTTTGTAGTATAGTTGCTTCATATTATGCTAGTTAGGATGAAACCTTGGAATATCAAATATTTGCATGTATAATAGAGAAAACATAGATCCAAGGTTTATAGGGTTGCATGTACACTATATGAGTGTTAGAATGCTCAAAACCCATCAGTGGTATCAGAGCCTAGGCTTGTTTTCTTTTATACTTGATGCAAATTGCTGAAAATCGAAGTTTGTATGCTGTCTGAACAGCTGACTCATCGAGTCCATTAAGGGACTTGACGAGTCCATGCCTAAATTCATCCAACTCGTCGATTTGGTTCATGCACTCGACGAGTTGGACCCCCCTGACAGCATATCTTCGAATTTTAAGGTTGGAATTGGTCTAGAATCATTACCTTAAACTGTTTTGGACTTATAAAACCTGTTTTTGATGTGGTAATGATTATGGTAAACCAATTTCAAGGTGGTTATCAAAATTTAAAGTTTTATGTATGTTTATGTAGTTCTTGAAATTGTTGATATGGTTGTTCATACACTTATGAGTTTTGGTAGATCATATGAATTATTTGCAAATTAGTTGTTAGTTAATTCTTGATCTAAATGTATTTTAATGGAGTCCATAA